AGTACACAAAATTGTCTACTAAAAGATATACAATTCGGTTTTCCCCCTGCACGTTTAATCGGAAAGGGTTGTTATTAACCACATTTGATGGCGCGTATGTTTACAATGCGAGAGCGATTTGATTGGGGAAACTCGCCCTCACTCCGATCGCTTATCATGTGTGATTCATTAAAATATATCCTGCTATAAAGTGACCGAGTCTTGGGGAAATGTGTTGTCAAAGAATCTTTGGTACGTAAAGTATTGGCTCTCGGTCAACACGGGTTCATTATTGGAAATATTTTATTTCGAAACCCGATGTGGGGAATAAATTTATGTGAGAGTGCGGCGCGAAGATAAATTTTTTTATTGCTAAAGGGGGAATTTTCTTCATTGAAATCATTTACTCGGTCGAGGGGTGAAACGAACATCGATTTGTACGGCTCGTGAACACGTCAATGGCCACTCGCCTATATAGCTCGAGTGGTACGTTACACAAAGGGCACCTAACCCTAAACTCCTACCCCATTTCCCGATAAGCGAGGGTATCCATTGGCGTGTAATAAATGATCGAATGTATAAACTACAATTACGCCAATGTCATTATCACAATAACTACCTTTCGGTAACGCATTTTTCTGTTAATCCGCCCTGACGCCGAACACAAACAAAACTCATTAACCGTTTCATTGGGCTGTATTGCTAATTAAATAGAGCCGCATTTACTGTACTTTTTAACTGCTGAATTAGCGACATTGCATTGCTTGACGGGATTATTAAAGCTTTAGGTACATGATATTTCTGAAATTTACCGTTGTTGAATCATTGGTTCGCATATGACATCTCTCGTTTATTTTTGGGCGATTGCGGTGGGTGGAGATGAACTGAAAAATTTTATACAAGGCACCCTAATACCAATTTCTTTTAGCGTAGCTTACGACTCTCAATGGGAGGGCGATATTTACTCGCACCCCAAATAATGATGCCTAACGAGTAGAATTCGAACATCTGTAACCTAATTTTGTATAGGTAAACCTGTTCGTTGGGACGACGTTAGGGCTTGACGTACGATATATGAGTTTATTTGGAATAATACTACAGAATCAGGATTATTCGGTTGATGCTGCAAGTCCGCAAAACAACGTATAATCTGAAATCAGGAAATAAGTTCTCAGACACTGGCCGCTTGCGTGGAAATAAGAAAATCCCCTACTGAAAATGTCTCAACAATTTTTGTAGTAGAACATTTTGTTTTTCTAAACAAACCAACATCAGTCACATGTATCTTTTTTAGTGAGCACAGTACAGTAGTACAGCGATGGAAGGATAGTCTACTGTGCTGAACTCAAAAGCGAGTTTCTGCTCATTTGTTAATGTATATTTTATTTATTTATAAGTGAGCGGGGTTTCAGCCAAGGGCTGCTCTACCAGCACAACCCACTAAACATTTACAAACATCGATGCCCGAACCCGGATTCGAACCAAGGACCCTTAGTACCGCAGTGAAGTGTCAACTCAACTGCGCCACACGGGGTCATATGACTAATTATTTAGAGACCTGTTTTTATTTGCCATAAAATACCGAAATATTCATCTATGGGTATATACACAAAAATGGTAAAATATGCACTGATTGCAATTTTATTGAATTCTGCAGTCTGATTGGCACCACTTCATAATTTATGAGCATATTTCGTCAATACAGTGGAAATAATATTTACGATCGTCTAAATGGTGATTGTGATTTTCACTCAAAATGCGATGATATTGAATTGTAGACAAATTAATTAATAGTAACACCAAACCTTCCACATTCTTGCTGTTTATTAGTAAAAATTGTTTGCCGCTAGTTTCGACTGTTACAAGTCATCTTCTGGCTACAAGATTGGTTGATCAAGAATGTCCTTAAAGCGTAGAATACAAACCGTCAACCGTGATAGAAAATGTACATCTTAAATTGTGGTGAGATTAAGTTACATATAAAAAATAAAGAATGCTGTAAAAGTGAGGAAAATTATAATATAAGGTGGTTAAGATGGGGGAAGTCCTAGTCCAGTAGGCGTTAAGGTGGTAAGACAAAATGTAAAGATCGTTATTTAATGAATTTTATATATTTTGGTTGGCATTGCAACCTTCATCAGAAAAATTTATTATATTGGTCCGAAACTGGTGAACACAATAATTTCGTAAAACATTACTCTTATAATAAAAACGTCGACAACGATGATTGATTACACATTAAAAACAGAAAAGCCAAAAAGGCAAAAGTTGCGACGTTTAATCCATGCGGCCAACAGGTGTTAAATTTTTTAATTTTTCTTTTTATTTAATTATAATATCTTAGGTGCATAATATACTTACATGAAAATCATTATTAAATGGTTGACATATTAAATCAGTTATCTTAGCACCCCCAATATCGAATTTTGTTTAAATGTAATAACAGAGGTGCAACCAAGAACCTACACGCATCACTTGTACCCTTTCACAAGGAAAGTGCAATAAAGCATATTTAACGCAACAACAAAATTCACACATTTCGCAATCCTTACAACCATCGGAGACATTGGAAATGGAAACGCCATATGTAAAACACAAATAACCCTTACTCACCCGGGATCACTTACTCAATAATAAGCCTCATAAGTCATAACATGCTATAATCCTATTAAAGGAGATGTGTGAGAATTTTAGATTGGAATTAACAAGAGAGTTGCGCACTATTAGGTAAGTACCGTATCGACAGTATTCGCGACTTTTCCTTCACATATGTGCCGATCACGGTCGAGTACGGTACAACCGTCGCTTGATGCGACATCGCTGTCTTCTCTGTTTGACCGAAGAACGGGTAACTTCCTCTATCTTGAACAATAAGAAAGTTACCCATGCAATCCCACGCGATCTGGGACACATTGTATATTCACTTTGGCTGTTCGGTCTAATTGTCTAACTGTAGTATAAAATGAGTTTGCTAAAAACGCATCGAGTACTTTCCAACTTGTTGATAACTTCGGTATGCAGGACCAACCATAGGCCCTCATCATCAATAGTAGATTCGTCAGGAATATAATACACCTAATACTTGCATGAACGGTTCAGATTACAACTGGTTAATGTTTCTCCCCTGGGTAAGAATGAATGAATTTTTGAAACATTCTGAATTGTATGTGTTACGCCACTGGCTCAATCAAAGTCTATTAAAACACTGTTCAAAGAAGAAATATTTAAATTTGCATTGTGGCTCTAAAATGAAAACAAGTATCAAAGTCCTCCTGTGAGATTGAAGGTACTTCCGCACATTTTTGTGTGGTAGATCAGTATTCTATTAACCACTTTTGACTCCATCACCCGTAAGATCTCTTGAGGGGCTACCATATGCTCTAGCTCGGTACCCTCTTGAGACGTCCCGTTCACCAGCAACTCACGTTTTAAGTTTTGACTCCGCCATCAGTAAGATCTTGTCGGGGGCAACCAAGTTCCTTTTATCAGTACCCGCTTCCGACTTCCCGTTTATCTGCAATTCGCATTTTGTTGGATTTCGCTAAAAACTCTCCACAAAATAGGACTGGGGCACTTTTCATAGTTCGAGCTTCTATTGGCGAAATGGCGACATGAGAAAGAGAGACCACGATTCGAACTCTAAGAAACTTTTGGGTTCCTGGAAAAAAAACAAAATTCCCTCACGCAGGAGTTGTGTGCGTTTACAAAATCTTTCCAACGACATCAATTTGAAAACAATCGGACCAAAACTGTGGAAGAAGGTGGGAAAAAACTGAAAAATCACCACTTTCAAATCAACACGCTCGGGGATGGCGCCCAGATGTCGGAGATCCCACATCATGTAGCACCGTCTCTAAAATTGTAGCGTTATTCTACGCGCCAACAAGTGAAATTAAAAGCTACCTTTTTACAAATAAATTTGAAGAAATGCACCAAAAAAAAACAATAAATAAATTCACACTTTCACCTTAAATTATAAATATGTACTATTTAAATTTAGAAGACACCTCATTCCTACCCGATCATCACATATCGGAAAAAACAAGAATACGAGTAGCACCTGGATAAGTACTCCAAATTCCCTCTTCCTTTGACCAACACAAAGGTTGTAAACCTTACATTTTTACAACAATATTTTATTCTTTTTTATAAAGCAACATCCCATGATAGAACCGAAAACACGACCTCTTCTGATGGAAGTTAGTGATCTTCGTGATTTTAGTACGTCATATATTTAAATCAACTTCTATCAAACGTGCACTAAACCAAATGCCTCCGCCGGAATAAGTTTTACCCCTGCAGTTAACCATGTGCCTAGGCAAAGACGTAATCGCGAATCGCGATTCGCATCTTACTATCCCATTGACTTTGCATTCCGCTAACGCGATGTTATATCTCAATTCGCAGTTTCCAAGAAAATGACGCCTACCAGTAGCCTTATTACAAAAATTTAAACAAAAACTCCTGTCGTAGTCTACGACTTCATTTAAAAAACTCATTTTCTTTCTTATTCCAGCCGGGAACGATTGTATCCAAAGCTGGGATTGAGTTTATTAAAATCTACATAATAACAGAAAACGTAAAATATTGCATATTTCGTCTAGTTACTCTCGACGTATACCCATATTTCCAATAATTGAAAGAAATTGTTGAACTGTAAAGACGCGGAGATACAAGAAAATTGATTTGATTGTTCTGTAAACTACAGGAAGAGTTATTGGAGCACTGAAAAGTAGAGGGAACGTAAGTTAAACTTCCATCGAAGTGGAAGAATAAACAGCACGAACACAATGTTTACACACAGAAAACACTCGTCAGCAAAAACGAGAGGCAAAAAGTTTAACAAGCTAGAACTTGTGTGAACCACTGCATAAAAAAAGGGTTCGATATCAACTCCGCTTTCCTACTGTAATTCGTTACTCCCATTCTGGAAATATTTACCTTGTATTTCATTTTGCATTGTATTTTTACACGAAGTTTACCGATAATAGCAGCATACTAACCGTGCAATGTTTTTTCAGACCGAAATAGCGAAGAGACTCAACGCTATAATTGCCCAAATTCTTCCCTTTCTCTCGCAAGAACACCAGCAGCAAGTGGCGACCGCTGTTGAACGAGCGAAGCAAGTGACTATGACGGAATTAAATGCAATTATTGGGGTGAGTAGCTTTTTCTTAATAATTTCAAGTTGTAATCGAATTTTCATTTCGCCAGCTTCTAATATATTCTGGTACCGGGGATCAGTTCAAAGTTAATTAGTTTTTAGAGGTTTTCAATTTACTCGGATGCGAATAACGAAATTGGCAGATTTTACCAGTTTTTTTTAAATATATTTGTTTTATGCAAATGCAGGCTCCGTAGAAGTAATTTAAAAATTTATCCGTTCTTTGCAATAATAACGCCCTAATTATTTTAATTTTTATATGCATAGAATGAATTTGAATTGTACTCTTGGATCATTTCTTTTCTCCAGCTTTATATCAAGCTTTTCATTCCACATTCCCATAGTTCTCCATAGTGTCGCCTCAGTTTTATATATGTAGATGAATTGCTAGTGCTAGATGAATTTGCAACGCATAATAGACCACTACTTTGTTGAAAATACAAAATATTTCCGGAGAAAGGTAAATTCGTATTTTATTACTGCAGCGCATTGTGCAACTTCCATACTCCTAAAACTTATATGTGTAATGCAATTTTGCACTTTGCAAGAATTATGGATTTTTATTCCGAAAGTTTAACGTATACACTTGAATAAATATGTTTCTAAAAAGTTCAGTAAAGTGTAAATAGCTAGTTTAAAGTTTATTTAAGTTATCTAACATAGCTCTGCAACTTTAGAAATGAAAGACAAATACAGCAAAGGTGAACTCCTAATGGGGTAAGTCGGTAAACTGTTTAAATAGCATACGTTGCCGTTAAAATGGTTGTTTAGCACATCGCTCATTAAGAAGGCGCTTATTTGTTAAGTAAACAGCCTTTCTCCTATCTTAATGTTTCCCCAACTGTTCATTGTTTTGAAATGTTATTTAACCCAATTAGCTTTAGCATTTCCCCTCGTCTAATAATTTCATACGAAAATATTAATTTTTGTGGTGTAGATGTTTCCACCAGAGATGTTGGAAGTGCAATTTTTCCTTGCATCAGCACTGCGGAAATTTATGTTTTGCGCTCTACAGCACCTGGCCTGGCACTATTTATTGCTTGCTACTGACCTTTTACCTTTATGTGGCAACTATCGGTCCTCAGTCATCAAGTACCACTTTTTCTAAACTGTCAGATAGTTACCCAGATTGTCTCTATTGATTGTAAAGCTTTACGTCATATACCTACAACTGAACAAATAAAAAGTTAAAAGTGAGAATTCTTGTTGCCCGAATATTGTTTTTTTCTTTTAAACAAATCATCAGTGACTAGGTACGCTCCTATCTTAATGTTTCCCCAACTGTTCATTGTTTTGAAATGTTATTTAACCCAATTAGCTTTAGCAGCTTTTATATATTTTGCTTTATTTCAATTTGCAGATGAGGTATTTTGATTCTGCTCTACAGTATTTAGCCGTACCAATTCGCTTAGTATTACTTGATAACAAGTCAAAAGCTGTTTGAACAAAATAGCCAATGCTAGGAAATTTTTTTTAAACTTGGAATTCCTCTCTGGACATAAGGTTTTTGTCATATTCCAATTCCAAAGCATATCAAATCAATTTAAAACTACTGTGAGTTATGTTTCACTGGTTTCACAGGTATTATCGCGGAATTTATGCAACACCGAGACTCCTGGGTAGTGTCCATATGACCAAGACCAATCCGTCCCTGTTTCACCTTACACTACTCTAACAAGACTCTCCAGTCTCCCACACACTTAACAAAGCTTTCATGTTCGAAGTTCGAACCCGGATTCGGACCGTCTTGGTCGTAGTAGTTGAGCATCTAACTCTTTCATTTGGGTGACGATTTTATAACTTTTAGATTATGACAAATTAATTAACATTACGTAAGACGTCGAGTAGAGTCTTCATTGCAGTTTAAAGAATTTTAGTATGAGTTGTAAGTAAATAAGACAATTTTTGTATTTACAGCTTATAGAATAATGGAAATTGGTTTTTCTACTACTACCTGAGAATCACGTCATACTTGCTTTATTTTTAACAACAGAATATCCCCTATTCTGTTAAACCGAAGTGGAATAATTTCATTCTAACTCTTGTGATGGAATGAGCACATGTGGCGACATCTATTATAAGACATCCTAAATCGCAATTCATAAGTAAACTGTCAAATTTTAATTACGCTTGCGCCAGATTTTGAATTTTAAGTATCGATAGCGCGAAAATGAGTAGCAGTGAGGATATGGAACTTTCAAATACTCCCCCGGAAATCACTGCGGAAGCAGAGCAAGCAAAAAAAATTTACTTCCCAACAAATCCAAGGCAGTGTACGAACATACGTACAGTAAATTTTTGGAGTGGAGGATTAGGAAAAAAACCACGTCATTTTCGGAAAATGTAGTGTTGGCTTACTTTAGCGAACTATCGCAAGAAATCAAAGCATCCACATTGTGGAAAACTTATTCAATGTTGAGGTCTACGTTAGTTTTGAACAATAATGTAGATATAAGCAGCTACGCTAAGTTGCAGGCCTTTTTAAAAAGGCAATCGAGCGGCTATCTCCCCAAAAAGTCAAAAATTCTAACAACAACCGAAGTAAAAACGTTTATTGAAAAAGCCCCTGACTCTTTATATCTAGCAACAAAGGTACTTATAGAAAACTACAACAAAACTCGTTACATCATATGTATTTTACACTTACAGGTTGCTCTTATAGTTGGCATTAGTGGTGCTTGCCGGAAGCACGAATTGTGGAACTTAAAAATTGATCATATACAAGATTTAGGTGGAGCAGTTGTAATTAGGGTACCCGATACAAAAACTAATGTTCAACGCAAGTTCACAATTACGGGGGAATTTTACGAAGTATTTAAAAAATATTACAGCTTAAGACCTTCAAATGTCGAAAGCCGAAGTTTTTTTTTGAATTACCAAAAAGGACGTTGCACACGACAAGTGATAGGTATGAATAAATTTGGCGGTATGCCTAAAGACGTGGCGACCTACCTGCAACTGCCAGATCCTGAAAAGTATACTGGGCATTGCTTCCGCAGAACCTCTGCAACAATGCTTGTGGATTCGGGTGCAGATGTTACTATGTTAAAAAGACATGGCGGTTGGAAGTCCACCGAGGTGGCCGAGAGTTACATTGACGATTCAGAAAATAACAGAATCGCAATAGCCAACAAAATTATGAATGCTGTGATCGAACCAGTTCCGGGACCGTCAACTAGCCATTCAGTACAGTCGGTTATAAGTCAAAATACATCGGCTTCTAATGCGCCCACATTCAATTTTACAAATTGCACCAATACTATTACTATTAACATTATTAATAAGCAAGATTAAATTGTTATTTGTGTTCTTTGTTCCATAACTGTTCGTCAATTACACATCACAAAATATATTCAAACTGCTTAATATTCTGCCTCAACAGAAACTGAAACACTTAACGTCATAATTGGATTGACCATGTTACAATACAATAATGGTCGTTTGCATCGACGAGATTAACATTAAGGGTAACTTGATCTTGTCCTGAGAAATATGTATAACACTGCATTTCATTTCCTAGTTCTTGGTTTTTCTGATTTGTTAACAAATTCCAAGTTCAGATACCTTACGTCAGTATACCTACAACCAAATGTGTCAAGTTGCATATTGCTACAATGAATTAATATACAAAGAACATCCAGATCCAGTTAACAGTTGTTGGTTATCGAGAACACATTTCCTCAGTACGTAGGTATTACTTGGCGAGTTTTAAAACTAACCTAAAATATAATGTCCACTAAAATCTTACCTACACTCATCGATACTTACATACAAATTGTTCGAGTCGAAGTTCGAGTATTGCTATGAGGTTTATTTCTGATTTGCACCCATAACGTCTTTTTCGTACCATTTTGCATTTCAATACATCATTGAAGTACATATCATCGCACTCGCCAGGCCGATTCATACAGATACACTAAGCAGAACAGGTTAAGGCATAGAGTAAACAGCTTTTACTTACTTAATAAGTAATTTGTAATTTCGATTACTAAACACAAATGAAGCAGACAAATCGCAACTTCCACATTTCTTTCGCATGTGCGGTGCATAGCTTGACGGGTCATTGACAAATATCGCTCAAATATGCCAATGCCACAGGGATCTGTTATACCAACCTACCACTCACAGACCTACAATTCAATGGACCTACTAATGGGTGAATTGTCTACCGCTAATAACCCTGATTGTTTTACATATTTTGCAACAATTCGTCGTAGTAGTAGAAAAAATTATGTCTATAACTTGTAAGGAATAGCTATTCAACGCTCGTGGAACCGTCACACTCGCCTTCGGCTCGTGTGACGAACTTTCCACTCGCGCGGAATACACTCTATTCCATACTCGTTATAGAATATACTATTCTTCTAAGTAATGCATGCGCATGTGCTCCTTCTTATTTCTTCTTTGAATTGATAATTTCACTAATGCCATGCATTCCTGTAAATAACACGAGGTGTGTCCGAAAAATATCGCGGTTAGTCTCAAAATTCTTCACATTTTTGTGCAGTAAATCAACTTCCATCAAAATAGGCCCCTTGGGCATCAATACAACGCTGGTAGCCTTTTTGGCATAAGCCCCCTGAAACTCTGCAATCGGAACATTGTTCAGGTACCTCGTCGAAGCGTCTTGAACCACTTGATCGAGTTGCATCCTTCCTGGTCTCTCTTGATGCTGGAAAACAAAAAAAGTCACTGGGAGCCAGGTCGTGGGTGTAGATCCAATCGATCTCTAGTAGAACTGTGCGGACGCAATCCTTCAGGCAGCGGAGCACTTCTGCGTAAAATTTTCCATTGGCAGTTTATCCAGCAGGTACAAACCCCATGTGCGCTGCCGTCGGAAAACCAATGAAGAAATTGGTTGGTATAGCTCACAATGGGGTAGCTTGATCAGGAATTGTAAAACACTAATCTCCCCACGCATCCAAAGTTTAATGACAATTTAAAGTTGACAGGTAGTTTTTGAAGAAAAACACGACATGCTTCGGAACGAACCTCGTTCCATTATCAAGTGTTGCAAAATTATTTTATCATTACATGAGTGATAGCTAAAAAACAAGCTGGACCTATCGGGGGTTTATAGACTGAATTGCCACTCATGTAACTGTTTTTATATGGCCAAACAGGACGTTCACTATCCGCATTAAAGAACACCTTCAGTGTATTAAAACTAATAAGATTAGCGCGAATAAATCAGCCTTTGCTGAACACATCCTCTCATCGGGTCACTCCTTTAATACCAACTCCGATTGACAAATTCTCCATATTTTAAACAAAGGCTCATTGCTTAACATGCTTGAAATACAAACTATTAATAAGTACAAGAACGACCCTGGTTTAGTCAATGAAATCATAGACTTCTCTGCGGATTTGTTTTGTACGAAATTTTAGTAATTTTAGTTCTAGGTAATTTGTTTATCTTAGTTGCTATATTTAAGTTGGTAATTCCCACTTTTCTAGTGTAATTTCAAATGTTCACATAACCTGTCTTACAAAAAAACACCACGTTGTTAGACGTTTCTTCCTGTTAAGCTGTGGTCCGCTTTGGGGTTTGTTTGTGGTCCTTCAGACACAACAACCAAAAAACTTTTTGAAATTTAAATGTGTCGTCTAAAACTTAATTTTTACATCATTTTTTCCTCTTGGTAAGTTTCACTCATGATTGAGTTAAGTTCTAATTTTAATGTTTTTTAGCTATCACTCATGTAATGATAAAATAATTTTGTAACGATAATGGAACGAGGTACGTTCCGAAACATGTCGTGTTTTTCTTCAAAAACTACCTGTCAACTTTAAATTGTCATTAAACTTTGGATGCGTGGGGAGATTTAGTGTTTTACAATTCCTTTCCAAAAACAATGAACATGGACTACATACGTGACTTGCTCATACGAGCTTTCTTTGACTTTGAAGATTGATTGGCGTGCTACTCTGCACTGTGTTCCTTTATTTCAGGAGGACACAGAAAAATCTACGTACCCGTGTAGCAGTTTTGTTCAATTTGACACAAAACTTGATCGAATAACACTGCATTTTCACTTTCTTTCGAGATCGAGATCCAAAACACAAACCATTCCCCATAAAACTTTAATTGTTGTAAAATTCAAATTATCGGTGAGCAACAACATTTTAAAAACCGTACAACGCTGCTAGTTTCGGCAAAAACATACCATCATCAGGCTACAAATAGAGTATATTAATTATAAAAGTCAATACCTAATAAAAACAATTACCGTACAATTACAGTAATTTTAAAGTTTAAGGTTGCAAATTATTTTAAAAATTGAAATTTGAAGACGTCGAAGTTACATCAAGGTTAAAACTGGAACTCGAATTAAACGTGGATGTAGACTATTTACATTAGCATTTAGTAGATTCAAAGTCCATATAAAGCAAATGAATACCTAAAAAGAACGGAGATTAGGATTAGGAGATTACAATTGAATTATCAAATGGCAACCACTTACGTATTTAATAAATCCAGTTTAAAGTCTTCAAAATGAGAGAAAAGTATCGTGATAATCAATAATAATTTATATGTACTTGAAAAATTAAATCTGTTATAATATATTTCTTATTGTTGGAAAAAGGGGAGATTGTTTGTGGGGAATCACTCCGCACTACCAAGATGAATAATAGTCTTTGCTGCATTTACGAACACTCCTTTAGGGTAAACCGGTAAAGCATACTCAGCAATTTAAGTATGCCCTTCTGTATATAGCATAGATTGGATAATTTCGTATTTGGTATGGCTCCAAACATGTCTGAAGTCGACGCTCCCTTTGCTCGCCTGTGAGAAGGCGAGCGACAAATTTGGCTGCAACCATGCGCAAATCTTCTAATAAAGTCTTCTGAATTGAACTCCATGATATTCCAGACATCTCACAAAGTTTGATCAATGGTTCGGCGTCGATGTTTTCGTCACTTCTTGGCATTGAAGGGCTTTCTGAACGGGGCTGGCCTTCAATTGTCATTTCTCCATTTTTAAAACGTAAAAACCACTCGTAGACTCTGGTTGTACTTAGAGCAGCATCCCCATAAACAGTCTCAAGCATTCCACTAGTTTCCGCGACCGATTTCCACCAATAGGAAACAAAATTTCACAGCCGCGCGTTGCTGTCTAGTCGCCTTTGGAATTTTTGTTTACATGGAAAATCGTACTTAACTTGAACTTCCAAAGGCGACTCGACAGCCCTGTACTGGCTAGCGAGATTTAGACGGTAGACAGTACTAGTGTAATGCTAGGTATCTAAAAAATGAACCGCACGTTGAATCAGTCATGAGCAGTGCTAAATAGTACTGCTCAGTACTAAATAGTACTGCTGTTTGCTTATACCCTGGTTATTAATTTTCCGTGTACTGGCTATGGACGGTGGCCAGTACAAGGTAATCCTTAAAAGTACCACTCAGTTGATTGGATATATATTTGCTACATAGGAAGTACGATATCGTACTATCGCTTGTTTATGTCCCGTACATCAATATCCACTGTACTGGCTATCGAGATTTGGAAGGTAGCCAGTACTAAATGGTACTGCTGTTTGTTTATATCCTGGTTATCAATTTCTCGAGTACTGGCTAGCGGAATTTGGACAGTAGCCAGTACAAGGCAACTCTTAAAGGTACCAAGAAACTGATTGTGTATGTATTCAGTACCCAAGAAGTACTAAATAGTACCCTCGATAGTACCATTGTATATTAATGTGCGGGTTATCGATATCCAGTGTACTGGCTAGCTTCCAAATCCCGCCAGCCATCAGTACATAAAAATATCGGCGTCCATCATAGGTAGTAAATTTTTGCAGTCGTTTTAAGATAGTACTCAAACGGTACTACAGAGTACTGATGTACTGGCGCGTACTGGCTATCGTGTACTGGCTACCTTCACGCACGCGAAATTTCAGCGGTCCTAGGAAATCTACCTTTTTTGTTGCGTGTTGAAAAACGGGCGTTGATCAGACAAACAAATCAATCATTATGTTCTTACACTTACGACAAAATTGAACCAAATGATATTTGTGTGATTCTGATGTTTTGGTACAATGAAGCTATGTATTCTGTCGTGAAATCGTGAAATTGAGGCACACAATTTGCAGCAATTATTGGACGAATAAAGCACTGTCATTTCGTTGAAGCTCTTATGTTTTGTTATCGTGACGTTTCTTTGCATGCCTTTATTGTTCATTTAATTATCCAAACTGCTATTGCATTCCTGCATAATGATCGTGTAGTAGGTAATCCGTTTTAGTGTAATGAGAAGTTGATCTTGCTTCCACCTTGAATTCTCGGAGGATGTACGAGCATGTGTTTACCAATAATTAGGCCCTTCATTCTGTAACGCTTGTAGTTCGCAGCTTCGTACTCGGTTAACAAGCTTGTTCTCGAGTTTTCCTACCCACCACCTACGTTCGCACATATTGCTAATTATATGCTTTAATTATTAATCAAAATAAAATTAAAGCGATAAATATTTGCTTGTTTGTATAGTTGAGGCTTCACTTGGGAAACCCAAACGTGTCATGATTTGCAATTCCACTCAGCCGCTATTGATAATTTTTACGTAAACTTTTTTGCTTTTCCTTTGAGTTACGATTGTAAGACATTCACTTAAGTAGGTATTTGTAATTCTGAGACCTTCTGTAAAAACGATACCTCTGATTAATCTTCCGAAATTTCTAAAACGGGAAATTAATTATAATCAAATCCTTAAATCCTAACCGTAGAAAATCATCTGAGAAAAGCACCGTTGGAAGAAATCAATTTGCAAGTCGGTATCTTAAATAATGGCTGCCGCAGTAAACCAAACAAATGTTAGGAAATATTTCGGATCCAAAATGAGAAAACATAGTTGGTCGAAAGCATTTCCACCCCTACAAAAATATAACTTCTTGTCACGTGTCTGAGATTCATTTCGCTCAATTTAAAGTTGAACTTGTGTTTACACTACATTTGCAGCCTGTGCGAGTCCTTTAACCCTCAACTGGGGCGTCATCTAACAAATTACAACACTAGGCGACGATCTTGAGATTCCTCCGTAATTAGCGCTAAATAATTAATTAATGACTAGTATACGTAAATGAAATGAAGCACTATCTCTTGCGAAATGTATTAATTGACATTGGAAGTAACTAAATTAGTCTCGAATGGCGGACTGCGTCATAAAATCATAAATGAGTTTAAGTCGTCGCTAGTGAATAGTTAAAATCTAGTTCACTGGGATCGCAAACTCCGCAACATAAAACGACAAAAAGATAAGCCATATAATGCCATTACAAAGAGCTCCGACAAAGGGGAGCATTATAATCTAATTAGCATTCAGCTCCAGCGACGCACCGCCAACTTTTTAGATTAAAAAGTCCTTTATCTCATGAGAAGGGTCGAACATACTGGATGCTAATGGGATTCAGTCGCTCAATATTTGAATGTATTTGATTAATGCTTATAAAATCGAAACCAATTACAGAATGTTGTTTCAAATCAACCGATACTGCTATCAATTTTAAAATCATTTGCCGGTCACTCTGTCACCGCTATAATAAAAGGGGAACGGAAGACGCGAATTTGATTCACTAAAATTGAATTATGATTTATGTTTCAGCAACAAAGGCCCGATCTGCCGAGGCTTCTTCAGCAAATGCACGCTCAGCAACTACCCGCTCATGCTGCACCCCCAATACCAATGATGCCACATCCGAGTCTTGCCGGGGCGCCGCCAAGTGCAGCCGCTAGCCTTTTGGGATTAACGGGAGCGTTGGGCGCACACGGACAACACCCACTTTCAATGTTAGCATCGAAGCCCGATCTACATCGATCCGACGACGGAAAATCCAACAGCGGTTAGTATTTTCGCAGTAAAACGAAATTATTAATTAAAAAGTAATCTTGGAAAAGAAAATCCCCTGTTAATTCCGACACTATACCATAAAAGTTGAAAGGTGCTTGTAAATAAGTACAAGATGTCCCCGTTACTAGCAAAAAGTTTCTCGCGAAAATTCTCTTCGAAATGCACCCTCGTTATTTTAAATACCTTAGGGGATGCAACGCCCTCGAGATTTAATTTCCATTTCAAAGAACGTCGCTGCCGTCTACTCCAAAGTACTAAATATGTATTCGGCATTTTCGTTCGTTTTTACTGAGGGTTCGTTCCACTTGGGTAAGTTTAATTTCCACCTTCTATTTTAATGTTTGTTCTTCAACAATCTTTAACGGTTTCCTTTTTTTAAATCGAAATCTGTCGCTTTGAAGCATTAACGATTTTCCGAATTGGGTACATTTATTTAGCAACGTAACTTTATACTTTAACAATTAATCGGTCTTAGTTAATTATAAATTCCCTTTAATTCTGTAGACAGAATTACGGTACGCAAATGTAATGATTTCAAATGAAAATTTAGAGTTAATTTCGATTAATACTTTCTTAAAATTTTTGAGGGCGTGTTGTATTACACGCTTTTATACGGAGGGAGAATTAAATTCAGTTGTAGGTATTACTAAACAGCTGCATAATGTAATTTGGTTATTATGCAAAAGACATGCAGTGCTATGTTTTATTTCAATTAATTTGTTTTTGTTTGTTTTATGTTCTCGTTTCCTTCTTCTGGTGGGGATGCTTAATGCCGTCGTCGTGACTACTGCAGGTATTAATTCTGCGGAAGAAAGACACGTAAGTATAGTCAGTTAACTTATTTATAATTAAATACCATTAAAAGATCGTTTAACACGCTACACAAGTTACCAGTAAGTCATTTTGCTATCATTTTGAGTGAGTTAAATACCTAAAATGATCAGATGCATTTGATCACAAATTAATTAGATATGCACCAAGAAACATGTCAAATCGACAATGGTTCAAATTCTATCAGCTAATATTAGTAATATAAAAAAGATAAGGGATCATAAAAAGCTACTACATTGTTAAGTAAATAATAAAAGTAGCACGGTCATTATCTCATTATGGTGAAAATGTTAAAGTTAATCCTATCCCGTTTTCAAATTACGAAATTTTATAACAAATTTTATCTTTCATGTAATGATTCATCAAGTAGCGTGATGATTTTGTATATTACTTGACTTGAAAATCTACTTACTTAAAATCGTGTTACTTGACTTAATATCAAGTAGTTGCAAGCTTTTGTTTACTTTTTATTTAGGTAAATAATGTAAAACTACAGTCCATCTACGGATTGAAACGATGAACAATTTCATACCTGTAGGATAAGTTATTCATATACGGTGATATTTATTAAGAAGTAGACATAGCGATTTATGTGTATTGTTTTTCCCTACGTCTCGTATGACATATTAATTAATTTGAATATTGTTGCTTTGGCTTCCGCAGTTGTATTTTTTGTTCGTGTGCGGTGTAATCAAATGAAGAAAGAGCTGATAGGTAGTGTACTTTAAGGAGCGTATGAGAATTATTCGCTGTGAAGTCAAAACAACAACATTCAAATTAATTAATATGACATCATCTACTCCCATAAATCCCTATGTCTACTTCTTAATAAACATCACTGTATACAAAAGCCGTTAATTAGTGGAAATTGGAATTGTTATAGCATAAAAGTCATAAAGTTACACATTTTTCGTCACACTTACATTTTATAGCAATCCTCGACTGCAAACGTTGTAACTAACACACTTACATACATGCATAGTACATTATGTTTATATGATCTATGAGCAACCTCCCAATTGCCATCTAGAAATAAAGCTCGTATTCGGTTTAAAATTATTTAGAAAATTCACGCTTACATGTATAGCAATCCTCGCTTACGGGGGTTGTAACTCTTGCAGTGCTCCTAATGGTTTTATTATTTTTAATAATCGGAAGAAAATGCTATAGAATATACGAAATGCGGGGACTTTAAGTAATAAAATTATAGCTTTCTATACCTTTATATCATTTTTCCAGAGCATACTCCTTCGCTTTCTTAGAATCTGGTATGCTGTTTCTAAAGCTTTATACCAGGCAATGACTTTGGGTACTGCTTAAACATTTTGCCCAATTTTAGAGCTCCTTAGGCCATTCTCCGTATTTTCTTTGACCACATTTTTTGCTCAACTCAGAAAAGGGTCTAAAAGGACGCGAGAAGGGGATAAAAGGCTTGAAAATACGCTATAAACGTTTGTAGTGAGTGATTACTCCGAATAACTTGCCTTGCTTTCTCCAGAGGTAGATAATTCTAAAGCACGTTAGAAAATGAAAGCTCTAACAGAGTACAAAGTTCTGGAGAGAACATACAAATTTCTAAAGCGGTACTGGAGGACGACTAGGAAGCCCCGAGAAGGGATTCAACTCTCCCAAACACGAAAGAAACACTGAGAAGGCGCCACAGAGCTATGGAAAAGGCAAAAATTTTTGCAGTCGTCTAGAAGCCTTTCCCAGAAGTATTCAACGCCTTTCCAAAATATTCTAGTCTTTAGCGGAAACGTGTCTGAAGCCTTTCTATGGTTTTTTAAATATTTTTCAGTACATTATCGTCCTTTCCTAAAGCATTTTAGGTCTTCAAAACCTAAATCTTTTCTGTAGAGTGTCATGGGTATCTTGTTCGTGGAACTGGCTACGCACTATTTCGTTGAAAATGGTCTGGACAGTATTGGAAGAGCCTAATGAGTTTCTGAGAAGCACTTATGAATCTCATGCGACCTTTAGAAAGCTCTCGAAAGCCTAAAGCATCTTCAACAGCTTAAGGTGCGCGTTCACTGAGACGGAACGGACGCGTCGGACGCAACAGACGCCGTAAAATACTATTATTTCCATTGCGCTTAATGTAATAGTACGAAACTAGACGGGCGTTTGTTGTACAGCGAACGACACGCTGCGTAATTTCCGCTACCATTGCAACTTCACCAGCGCCGGCAATTCCAGTAGTGCGCAAAGGCTCGAGCACCAGACGGAAAACAAAGTGGTGGTGCTTAGCACTACACGCGCAACAAACGACACATTCTTTTCTTACCATCCCTGCTTCGACTTGTACGGCAGAAAGATCTTTTTCTGCACTTCGCAGGCTGAAGACCTATTTGCGTTCGAATTTAAGGCAAGATACTCAATCATGTAGCCGTTCTCCATGTACATCGGGATTATACTGCGGCGTTGGATTTAAAACCCCTGATGAAGGAGTGGATTTCGCGATCTGCGCAACGTTCTTCTACTGTTTCGATGGCAATGTAATGAGATGTGCAATATATTGTTTATTCTATTTTCTCTTTTTATCCCCCGTTTACTCCTCCTAATCCAATTAATAAAAACATTGAATTTCAAAATCGTTTCTTCTGGGCGTAGAGCACCACACGTCAAAATAAAGAAGTGCCGGCCCTGAACTTCACGGTAGGGATATTATCGCTGCGGAAAGTTCAGAAAATAAACGCTAATGAGAGTTATTTTGCAGCGAACACACGCGCCCGGTTTATTTCATCCGCTCACGCCAACGGAACCAAAGCGGAGCACTGTGGAAAAAACGCTCGTCTAGTTTATTCCATATAAGTGATTATAAAACGTTCTCGAACAAAAACGTCATATTTCTCGGAAAGATTACGTCACACCCACCTTCGTTCTTCGCCGATGACTAATTTTTCATGGCGCCTCGATATGTATCGAGATTTGTGGAATGTTGGCAACAATATTTTTTTCTCTACTTACCTGCACTACATATTCAGTTAGCAAGCAACTAATTACAACGGTTTCTGATTCACTGTAGCTCATTTTCCACTCGATAAAACTGCTGCCCTACGACGATCCACTTGTTCGAATGAGAACGCACATACGTCGCGTCCGCTTCGCCTCAGTGAACGCGCGCCTTAAGTGGTTTCCCGAGCCTTACATGAGAGAAAAATCTGTGAAAAACACTTTGAGACTACTTTTATAACCGTAAGTTTTGCAGCGCCTTTCGAGGCTTTTCCTAAAGTGCACTCATGTCTTCTCGGTAAATTAAAAAATGTTTTGCACTTTTTCGGTTCTACATTTAACTTACAAACTATCGAATTGCTATTTTTTTCCACGTTTACTTACCGCTAAATTCGTGATGCGTTTGATTAAAAATACAAATAAAGTAAATTGATTCTAAATCTTGATTTATGATTGATCGATATGGTACATGCCATATGAAAAGAGGTTAAAGAAGTTTAACTGGAACATGAAAGCCGCGATAAAATGTTAAAAGTTTCAAAATACATTTATAATAATTTAATCCCGCTAAAGCTAACCATTCAAAATGGGAAATATCTACCTGTTCATGCTATAAAGCCATTAGGTGATATTGTTTATAATTTAAATTCTGTTCGCGTTTATAATAAAAGCCAAATTTACTCTTTACCACAACATACAGCAGTGTATCTGTGGTTTTCATTGTAACTTGCAAAGCCTATTGGTTGAACAACATTTCGAGGGAGATGATACTAGCACCAGATATCACCCCTTCGCAAGTTTCTACCACAAATGTCAATTATGTTCACAAAGCGTAAGGGTTTTATTCATTAGTATTCTGAATTTTGGAGATGTGTTAACTAGAGAGGATTATGTTCCGAAGTGACGAAGTAAATGTGAAATCAATAATGGGATGGAGAAAAATACACTGCTGTAAAGTGAAATAGGATTATAATATTAAGGGTGTAATTTAACGTCGGAGAATGCTTACGTTGGAATCGGGGATGAGAGTGGCTCAACTAAGTCCCACCGGATTAATTTGAGTTGCACGTCTGTTCTTATACCAAATTACGTTGCGTTATATTATATTAGTGATTAATTTGTAGAAGTGCTTTGCTTTTTATAACGTAAATTTACTGTCGATTAAATTTAAGTACCTACTTGCGAGAAATTAATCAAGAGTAAAACGATTCTAATCAGCGCGTTTGTGGAAGCTATTCTTTCATCTATATCACGCTCGATTAATTCAGCTTTAATTCTACCGATACAGTATAAAAATCATTAAATTAACCGGCACTAACTAAATTCGGTCTTTGAAGTTGATTACTAACTAAATACGGTAACTATGTGCGGAGGAGAGTTAATTAGAAATAACGACATTACAAACTAATAAAGAACATGGTTTAGCAGCGGAGCAACTCCTAGAAATAACACAGATATTCAAAGGGATGTGGAAATGGGGTTGCCTGGAAGCAGGCAAGTCCGCTCGGGGTAATTGAGAGAGATTAAGGGATAGGGCGTACCACATAAACACAACCCTCACTCACTAGCTAGCACAGACGGTTTTCAATTGAGGCCATCGAATAATTAATATCGACTCTCAGTGTCGTTGACTGTTAGCAACCCTTAATGCTGCGGTAATTAGAATTTAACTTTCCGATTTGAAACTACCAATTTAATTATGACTTTCTGCAATATATTAGATCTTAGTGTTTCCTAAATGTTTAATAATCATTTACTGACATCAAAAACTATTCATGCAGGTGAAATTGATTCTTTTTACGAGACATTAATAATCTATTAGTTATTCAACTTTGCACCATTTTCTAACACTCCATTAGTACGTTTGCCGTATAAACTTTTATTTTTCAACTTTACTCCCACGGTTATTTGATGATAAATCGATACTTATACATTTTTGTTTGTTTTATATTGGATTAGAATATGTCTTGCTGTGTACGTAAGGAGAACGACAAATACTTAAAACATCAAACTTAACATTGATGAATATGTGGTAAATTGAAGCTAAGAAATAAATTAATAAGTTACAT